CACCGCGTTCTCCTCCTCCCCATCCTCACCGGCTCCGCACTTGCCCCTGCCGCGTCCTGGCCCCGGGCCGCAGCCGGCGGCGGGTGGCGGCGTGGTTGCTGCAGCAGCAACTCCAGCAGCAGACGACGCCGGCCTGGCACAGAAAATACCCGTCTAGCAGAGAGACAGCCAAGATTGGGAAGGGAAATCTGCCAAAGTGAGAGAGAAGGGCGGGCAGTATTTCTCTCTGGCGCCTTGATGTGAAATTAAACGGCTCGTCAGCGAAATAAAAATTGCTCTCCTCGGGCCGGACTGGGCTGGACTTACGTTGCTTTGGTCGAAGCGTTGTCCCCGCTGAGTCCGGCGGTCAGTGGGAACGGGTCCTGGGGCACCGGCGCCAGCACCAGGCCCTCCGGCGTCACCAGGTAGTCCGGGATGATGGGCACTGCGGACACGACACACGCAGCGGCCGGATGAGCGAACGACGGGCCGACGGCGGCAATACCCCGCGCGCAGGACGACAGACCAGACGCCGCCGTCCCTCGAGCGTGGAGTACCGCCGAGTCCAACAGCGTTAATTTCGCGACTCAGTGAACTTGCGAGCGACAACGTCTCGCCTTGAGAGGGGAGGGCGGGTTGGGTGCAGTGGAGGAGAGGTAATAGCTGGTGAGGCAGCCTCAGGGCTGCGTGGGGAAAAGGGGGGAGGGGGCGCAGGGGCGTGACACTGAGGGCCTCCCCTTAACCTTTGCATAACATGTAAAATACCCAACTTGGACCATAAAACGAAGTGGTTTCCAAAGAGGACAAAAAAGAACACCATGGAATATATACGTTTGTCCTTCCAGGTAAAAAATAAAAATGAGAAAAAAAAATCTAGCACGAAAAGGAAAAAATACCATGGCTGGTGTTTAACCTGGTCCCATCCCAAGGAAACCGTTTTACTCACGAAGACCTCATTGTGACCTCTGAGGTCACGGATCTTGCACTTGTGAGGTCATTAGTGAGGACATGAGTGCAAGAATCGTGACCTCGTAAGTCATAAAGAGGTCACAATGAGGTCTTCGTGGGAATCACGTTTTCCTAGGGATGTTTTTTGTTACACGTAAGAACCGCTGAAGCTACATCGCAGGTACGCGGGTTGTCCTCTCGTTCCTGGTCATGGCGCCTTACCGCCCGATCGAGTAGGCAAACCACACGCACCCTTGCATGCGTTTCCGTCTATGGAAGTGAAGAAAAGAGGGAGCGGGGGAGTCGGCCAAAAGAAAAAGGACACGACAATGATTCCACATCGACTGTGATGGGGCCAGGGGCATATTAAGTGGGTGGAAGGAGGCGGGCAACCACCCCTTGTCGGCCCTAGGTAGCAGCCTGAAAAGGCTATTTGAGCTACAAAACCGAAGTAGGCAACTTAGTCTACGCCGCCCTCATGAAGACTTGCTTACCTACTACGGTGAGCAGCATGTTGTCGAGGAGTAGCGACAGGTACACCAGCAGCAGGAGGAGGCTGCGGGGCTTGTCCTCCTGCAGCGCGCGCAGGAACCCCAGCATGATACCGACCGGATCAGCGGCGGGTCTGAGTCGTTCCCCTCTCCAGTGCTTTGTTGGCCCGCGTGATGCACCGACTCACCTTCACCTGCGTGCGGGGGACGGGGGCGGCTCCAAGTGCTGGTCGGTCAGATCTTGGGGCGAAAATACTGGAATTTTTCAGAAATTCGTCCTTAAAGATTTTTGTAATTTCCGATTTATTTTTTGCACATTTTTTTCAAAACAATTCCAAAACTTTTCACGAAACCTCACATTTCCAACCAGATGACTTGGGCCTCGTCGGCAGCCGGGTCCCTCGCACCTCGCATCAGCTGTTGCTCTCCCACCTTCTCTCCCCGCAGTTCCCGCAGCTCTCCATCTGCTCTCCGCGCGAGGCCTCCCCGGGCTACGCGAGCTCGACGCTGTTCTCGGAGGACTGACGGCTGCTGCGCCCCGCCCGGAGCCCCGGGCGCCCGGGGGACCCCCGCCGCCCCGCGGGCGGAGCCACAGGCGGAGCGGGGCGCGACCCCGGAGCAGGGTGACCAACGCACCAGGGGCGGCGGGGCGGGGGCGAGGCGGGCGGTGATGCGGAAGCCCTTGTCGCTTCCGGCGGGCCGCGCGAGCATGCATTTGCAGCATCTATCGACTTTCCTCGCCTAGCGTCACCTTCTTCTCATCGAGGAGCACCCACCATACTCACACACCCAGGAACTGGTATATCGTGTTCGCGTGTATTTGCGAGTATTTTCTCGCTCGCCCCAATGTTGGCAACGATGATGAATGGAGGGTCTGCGACCCCCTCCCCGCCTCGCCGCGCTCCTCCGCCCCACTCGACGGCCGCGAGGAGGGCGTTTCAACGCTATCTCCGCCGCACACTCTCGGCCGCACGCTCTGGCGCGCACCGCCGACGCGCCCCGCCCCGCCCCGCCGCGCACCCCGCGGGCGCCAAGCCACCTGCGCCCCCCGAGCGAACGCTCCCCCCCCCCCCCATCTCATTGGCAGAGCGCCCCCAGCGGGCGTTCACAACCACCAGGGTCTGCAGCACGGCCGCGAGCACGACGCACTCGCCGAACGCAGCTCATGAGCCGTGGGGATCCGGGAACAGCACGCTGAGCAAGCAAGAACACACACACACACATGCACGCACACAACTGGCAGACATTCGTAAACCGCACCGCTGCTGTGGCGCGGCCCCGTCATGTGTTGCAATTTAGTGTGGGGCCGACCAGCCGCCGGCCTGCGCAGCGGATTGGGAAAACAAACAGTGCTCACTCGCGGCCCTGTATTGCCCCCTCCCCCGCCTCTCCCTACTACTCTCCCTCCCCCGATCGGCCCCTGCGTTTATTTCTTCTCGGGCGCGCTGTGCACTCTAGTGTAAATGGTGTGTGTGGGGGAGGGGGGTAGGAAGCTAAACTGCGTGGCCGTAACCGCAGTGACACTATACGAGGTCCGTCACAGGCCCTCCTCGGCGTGCGAGACCCGCCCGTCGAAAACAAAAACTTTCGACTTCTGTTCCCCTCCTGCTCCTCCGCCCGGCGGGAGGCTGCAGGTTTCATCGACATTCAATTTCACCTGGTGCAGCTCGGGCAGCCCCGCCGGCAGCCAGGCGCCGGCCCGGAGTGTCGCCCCCCCCCCCCCCCCTGCTCTCCTCCCTCGCCGCATCCGCCCTCCTCCTCATCCCAGTCGCGGCCGCTCCGCTCGCCCACCCGAAACCGCTTTAAGCGCTCGACTTGAAACTTTGTGCAAAGAACGGTGCGATCGTTTTCGGCGAGGCCGAAGCAGCGCCAGTCCACACGGCAAGGCCGGTCTGTGCGAAACGGGGAGGCGAGGGGAGGAAGGAAAGACGGAAAAAGACTAGAATGCGAGCCTCTCGACGCCAGGCGCCGTGGACGCCACGGTCTCGATCGGTGCAGCTGCATCGCTGACGTCCACGGTACTTTTGTCCCTATCCCAAGTGCCCAGCAACCGACCAGCAGCTGCACACCGAGCCCAGCCGTCTCAGAAGCTAATGCGGGACTCAGTTTTGATTCTTCCAGGGCCAGGGCCCGGGCGCGACGGCGACGACGCCAGTGCGTTACGAGACGAGGGTCTCCCTATTCCGAGACGGAAAAAAAATACAGAAATGCTTGGAACGAACGCCGCAAACGGGAGAGAAAAGTCGTCAAGATCGATTTGGCGGTCGGGAAAATATTGCGGCCTGAAAAACCCGTTGGCTTTTAGCGACTAAGTACATTTCCGACCCCAGCTGGTGGGAGGTGCCCGCCCACCGCACCCTCCCCCGCACCCTCCGTTTCGTCCGCCGCACTCCCCGCCCCCGCCACGCCCATCCTCCAAGCTTCACACCCCTTCTCGCCCTGTACGCAAAACCCGCATCTGGGCCCGGCCGTGCTCGGCCCTGCCCTGCCCCGGGATCCAATAAGGGACTCGATTCAATTCATTATTCATTTCGTGGTTGACTGCGCGTCTGCTGTACGCTACGCGGCCGGGAGCTGAGGAAGATCATCGTGTAGGTGGCGGAGTGATTCACAACTCATCGTCCTCATTTATTCAGCACTGCAATGTACATAAAAGCCATCCTCTTCCTTCCTCGGGGCAGATCCAAGGTCGGGGCTAGAACCTCGTGACCTTGTGCGGCGAGGGCACGTCGTACCGCGGCAGGCTGCCGTCTGGGGTGAGCGGCGTGGTCGGCCTGGTCCGGTGGCCGTGGCGGTCCGAGTACACGTTGGGGCTGGCGGCCCTGGCGAGCCTGCCCCTGCTGCCCGCCAGCGACCCGCAGGGCCCGGCCCCGGACAGCGACACGCTGTCGTACAGGGCCGCCCCAGGCCCCGCCCCCAGCGCGACGCCCGCCCCGCCGCGCGCCGCCTCGCGGAAGGCCAGGTCCGTGATGCTCTGGTCGCGGGCGAAGGCGGGCAGCTGGGCGGCCAGCTTGTCCCGCACCATGGCGCCCGCCATGAGGTACGTCCTGGGCACGAACACGCCCAGCAGGACGGCGGTGGCCGCGGCCGTCACCCCGCCGCTCATGGCCGCGTCCCTCCACGCGTGGCTGCCCGCCAGGTACAGCGACACCCACGCGATCCACAGCGCCAGCAGCACCGCGGTGGTGGCCGCGAAGAACATGCCTGCCAACAAAAAAATATATGTGAGACAAGACTGGTAGTCTGTCTCTCCACGCTATGAAATGCTTCCCTAAGCTTTGTTAGTACTTTTCAAAAGATTTGGAGGTCTTTTAACTTTAAAAATTAAATTCCTTAAAAGTTTCTATTAAAGAAAACTCACAAAGTTAATTTGGTTTATTAAAATTTTATTCTTTTGCCCGAGGGGTACGCGGCGCGGCCATGACGCCCTTGCTGCCCTACCCTCGCGGTAGTTTCTCCTCGAGGTGGCGATGAAGGGCGCGGTGATGGCGAGGAGCGCGAGCAGGAGCAGGTCGTAGGAGAGCAGGATGAGGAAGCGTGGGCCGGACAGCCACCCGCAGACGGCCGGCGACAGCAGCAGGCTCAACTGCACGCTCAGCGCCACCTACACGTACAAAATGTTGTATCAGTTATCAAAAAATTCAACTGAAACTTTTCAATAGTGGAAAGGCTCAAAAGTCTCTCGTTCCATACCTGCACGGCCAGCGTGAAGAAGCACATGGCTGCCTGCAGGGGACCGGACACGTGCGACAGCAGTCCGCCGTCGTGGTCGCAGGCGGCCAGCATGAGCGCGCGGCCCAGCATGACGGAGAGCAGGAGCGAGTGCGCGAGCGGCGCGGCCAGCAGGCGCATCCCGCACAGCACCAGCCCCGAGCCCCGCGCGCAGTAGGGCAGCGCGCTCGCGTACGCCAGCAGCACGGCCAGCAGCAGCAGCAGGGACAGCGTCTGTGGGACAAAGCGGCCAGCGTCAGAACAGGGATCAGCATGACGGACAGCAGGAGCGGCCCGGTTGCACCATTGTGCCACCTAGCTCCTCCGTAGTTAGGCTGTACCGGGTTCCCTGTTCGCGCGGATTCGTAAATGCGTCAGGCGGCATGACGGGCAGTAACTGCGATCATCCATCCAGAAAGCACGCCCGTCGCTCGCCCTCATGAACCTGACAAGTTTCAGCATATGTGAGCGCTTAAAGCGCCTGGTAGGTAGGCAACATCGACCCTACAGTGCATGCGTGTATCGCGGGGTGGCCTACCCCGACTATCGCAGGCGCCGAGCTCCCGCAAAATCGGACGTCCTCCTATGGACGACCCGATAGGCATTACCGCCACCCGCCCTCAAGTCAAGCGCAGTCTGTCGATTTTAAAACAATCTGACAGGGACATTTAATTAATGGATCGTGTGTATTTTTGCAGTCAACTTACGGCGGATCCCTCCAGGATGTCACCCGCGAGGATTCTCGTGGCTATGAAGAAGGCCACCGCCGTGGCGCACATGGTCCCCAGGACGGCGACGGTGAGCACGGTGGCCACCCAGGCCTCGCGCACCCACTCCACCTCGCCGCTGGCCAGCAGCAGGGGGCAGTCCACCGTCTCCAGGTCAGCCTGAGCCGGCAAAGTGGGTGGACGATTAGGAATGGTGTTCTTGGAGTACTTTATCAAACACCCCGGCGACGATGGTGCCCACCTTGGCGAGAGCGTCGTCCGGGATGGTCCATATGCCGCCGCGGTAGTGGGCGAGCGGCACCAGCGGTCGTCCCGGGCCGGGCGAGCGCAGCAGGAGGAAGGTGGCCGAGGCCGCGGCCCTGGAGGCGACCTCGTCCTGACGCACCTCGAGCAGCCGCGTGACGGCGGCCTCGTCCTGCGGCGGCAGCGACGCTCGGAGCTCCTCCAGCAGCAGCCCCGTCGGCGGCAGGCGCCCGCACACCTGCCCCGACGGCCCCGACGCCGCCGCCGGCGTGCCCGTCGACGTCGAGTTTTCATCTGCATCCGCAAACAAGGGACGAGACAAGGTCTGATGAAATGTTCGGCGGGATTTTGCGTGCGGCCCGAGTTTCCCCGCCTTTCTTTTTTTCCCGCTCACACACTCTCCCCCTTCTCTCACGCAGCGGGGCACACTCTCGCCTTTTGTCGCGACCTCCCTCCCCACGCTCCCGCCCATCTCCGGGGTGCACGCGCACCCGCCGGCCCCGCCCAGCCTGGAGAGAAAGGGAAGAGCGGCCTCGAGCGACCTTTTCCCCCTCAGTAGGTAGGAGGATCGGAAGTCTCTTATTCTCGGCACCTTATTTCCCTCCGTGCCGCCAGGCCGAGCCGAACCTTAACCCCACTCTCCCATCCCATCCCTCCCTTTTATTTCGCGTTCCCTTCCCCTCTTTCACCAAAGGGCGGGATCAGATTGGAAAATCTCACATGTACATGATATCTGAAGCGCTGTGTCTCGGGAACAGAGCCAGATTATGTACGGTAAGAGTATCCCGCTCCCACTTTTGCAGTTGGCTGAACCTACCGCATTGATTTATGCGGCGGGGTTACTTAACACTGCTAACACTTCGCTCCATCCAGACTTCGGCGTCATGGTCAGGGTCGATGTATTAGAGCACACCAAACCAGCCCGCACGTATGTGTTTGTGTGAGTGCGTTTGACTAGAAGTAAAAAAGAGTCTGTATTATAGACCTCACCTGCAGACTGTCCTTCGCAGAACGCCGACATTCCCTCCTTGAGCAGGTCGGCGGCTTGCAGCAGCGCGCGGCCCACGGCCAGGAAGTCGTTCAGCCCCACGGCGGCCGCCACGTCCTCCGGGTCCGGCGGAAAGGGGACGGCGACGGCGTCGTCGGACTGGTTGTGGGCCTGCTCGCCGAGCCGCGCCATGAGCGCGCGCAGCGGCGACATGTCCGGGACCAGCACCAGCGCGTCGCGGGGCAGCGGCGTGGCCTCGGACCAGATGCCGTCGGGCGGCGCCAGGATGAGCTGCGGGACGGGGCCCTCGACGGGCACGAGCACGTGGTCGCGGAGCATGCGGCGCAGCGCGGCCTCGGCGCCCACCAGGACGCGCGCGCGCGAGGACGGCCCCGACCACCGGAAGCCGTCGGGCGCGTGGCCGCGGCGCGCGCACACGCCGCGCAGCCGGGCGTTCTCCACGGCCTGGTCGGCGAGGTGCTCGGCCGCGTCGAGGTGGTGCTCGCCGACCGGGCCGTCGTCGTCGTCATCATCCCGGCCGTCGTCCTGGTGCACGCTGGAGGTGAGGACGTCCGCGGCTGGCCAGGGTCCCGCGGCCAACAGGGTGCCGAGCGCGTTGCCGTACTGCGGCTCCGGGTCCGGCGACTCCGGCACGCCCCACAACGCCTGCGTCAGCCCGGAGCAGAGCTCGGAGACGGACTCGGAGCGAGACAGGTCTTCTCCCGTTAGCACACCTGCACTCACCAGGGGGAAAAGTTCGATAAGAGATGTAGAGAAGGAATTGTAAAGTTGTATGGTCATTTTTTAAGATTTGAAAAGGTTTTCGCCGACATAAAAATCAGGTTTAACGTCAAAAGGCACAAGCAACAAGAAATGAGAACGGCCGAAACTATGAAGATGACCATATTAACCGACGCTTACCTAAAGAGTAGTGATGTTCGCAATCAAGGTCCACGAAAGCACCAACCAACACCTTCCTGGCCACGCTGGGGCTGGCACACGAGTTCACTATCCGCAGCCCTGGGAGGACACATAAAGTCTCCTGGTTCACTCCGACTTCATCCCGACACCGAGGATGTCTGCGTCCTTTTGCATGTGCCCCCCACCCCCTTCCCCCCGTGTCTCCTTACCCACATCCACGTCAGGGACGTACTGGTGTCGGCGCAGGACCTCCAGGACGTGCACCGCCGCCACGGAGAGGCGCCGGCCCCGGGGGACCTCCGCCGAGCAGCCGGGCCCCGCCTGCAGGGGGAGGAGCGCTGTCGACAACAACCCACCTTGGTTAGTTCCTTGCACCCCCCGCTGGGGCTGGGGAGCGCCGCGCAGCGCCCCGCACCATTCCACTGAGTTACAGTAAACAATATTGGGCGTCTTGCGAGATAAATACGCGCGCCTCCGCGTGAATACACCTGAATACACCACATAGCAAGTAATATCGGGGGTCGGGCGGGGGTGACTACCCACACCTTCTCAGCAGGGAGCACCAAGCCCCGGGGGGGGGGGGGGGGCTGTGGCTGGAGAGCAGCACCATCCCTCTTTCTATCTCCTCCCCCTTCCCACCCAGTGCGTTTAACGGCCCGTAAAGCAGCATTACATAACGCTGGCGACCGTAAAGGCCCGGGGCGCGTCCACGGGATGCCTCGATCCTCCTCCTCCTTCACCACCCCCACCGCCCCCACCTCCCCTCCCGCCCCTGCACGCCCGCGCTGCGCCCTCCACTTGCGTCTCATATCGAGCCAGCAGCTGCGTTACGGCTGCCAACAGTGGAAAGTCCAAAAGGCTCGCCCGCGGAGAGGCGTTCCTCCGGCCCGATCAGCAAGAAAACAGCAAACCCCCCGCTTTTGTCGTTTCGTTCCGCCTCCAGCGTGTTTTCAGCAGGGCGCCTCTTCTCCGCGGAAACAGAAACGGCATCATAGGAATCGCTAGCGGTGCACAAACGTAAAAATAAACAGAAGTAAAAAAGATTAATGCTTTTGCTACAATATAGCTAATGCGTTATTTAGTTGTGGCCTTAAGGGTTAGCCGCGCTGACACACTAAAAATGGAAAAGGAAAATTTCGTATCTAGGGGCGATGCGTTCTTAAGCACATCTCTAGCAGATGCAAATTTGCACGAGACACAAATAAAGACATTTGTACCTAGTATAGGTACAAATTGCAACTTTTTAGATACAAATTTGCATCCGGTTGCGATGTGCTTGAGAACGCATCGATACTAGTCACAAAAATTGTCCTTTCTCCATTTAGAGTGCAGGTTGGCAGGTGGCGCGCGTCCCCGCCGTCGCCTCGTTGTCAAGCGCTTCATTACTCGCGTCCTCGGTGCCTCTCCAGAGCGCCGGAGAGCGCCCCCACCCCCACCTCTCTCAGAACACTCCGGTACACGAGTGCGAGGTCGGCTTTACGCTGTGATGATCAGGTGTGAGAGGGCGTGCGGGGTGTTTGCTCTTTAATTCAGAGGTCGCTTTTTAGGCCGACTTCAGCTTGGCATATATTTGCCGTACTATTTTTTTTTTCAACTGGAAATTTGCGGCATGGAGTTATCTTCGTAGACATCCAGGCACGCACGCGAAGAGTCTGCGCTGTACTCTGGGTGTATCAGAGCGGACGCCGCAGTGTTGCGGGTTTGCATACTCCCTCCGCCCGTAAAGGTGCCATGGCCCCCCTCCCTGCCCTGCAGCGTGTGGTGGGTATGCATGCCATCCAGCAACATCGCGTCGGCTGCTCTGCCACACCCGGCACGTTGCGTGCGCCTATTGGTATGAGCACATATACTATGATGCAGTGCTGCAGTTGCCAGGTAAGTAGGCGAATATTCCTCAAGATGCACCTGTTCAACGCGTGTGTCATTGACGCCTGAGTACCAGGCAAGAAATAATTTCCCGTGTGTGGACTTTTGTTTAGTATTCAGACTTCGATATGCCTCCCACTGCTTCACTCAGGTGCAGGATCTTGGGAAGTGTTTGCCTACTTTTATCTTCTAAGGTGAGGGCATCTGTTCTGCGTGCACTACTACTCAAAATTGAATCGTGTGTGTTTTCGAGCTTACATTCGAGGACGGTTTCTTGCTGCTCTTACCTGTGACGATGGCGTCCCCCCGGATGGCGAGGTCCTCCTCCACCTCCCCGCACTGGGCCCGCGCCCGGGCCGAGAGGAGGAGGAGCGCCAGCAGCAGCCGAGCCATCGTCACTCGCTCGGCGTCTCTCACATGTCGCAGCGCAACTCGACTCGCCCTCCACGTCGCGGTATGTAGTTGTCACTCTCGTCGCCACTCGTCACTCACTGGTTGTCACTCGCGCATCGCGGCTCTCCGCTGCTCCGTGTAGCACTTTGGCGCTGGTCATACTACTTCTCGTCACTCGGTTCTACTTGCAGCCGACGGATTCCCCGTCACTCACCGGCGCCCTGCTCTCCACGGCCACACCGACCGCACGGTCGTCGTCACCCTCACTCGACTTCACTCCACGTCACTCCATTGGGCCTGGGCCCCTACGCCCGCTCCACGTCACTCCCGTGCTCCGCCGTCACCTCCACTTGTCGTCACTGCACTATGGGCCCCGCGTACGCCACTCCGGGCCATGAGCACGGCGGCGTGATGTCTCCGAGCGGCTTTGCTCGGCCCCCCATGGGCGGTGCCGAGGGGGCGGCGGCGAGGGTGGCGCCGCGCCGTGCCGAGGGAGCGCCTCGCCAGGACCCAGCGACGGCCTGCTCTCGAGGTGGACACACTTGATTTCCGGCGACCCCGCTCCCGTCGGCTCGAGGAGGGGCGGGCCGGGACAACGACTTCCTTCCGCCTCGAGGGAGGCCCAGCCTTTGGCTGCCTGTGGCCCCCTGCAGCGCCGCTGTACCTCGCGCTGAACCCTGCCGTCCTGGCGCGCGGCGGCCCCGGGGCAGCCCTGGCGGCGAGGCAAGGCGTGGACTGGGTCCTTCCCCGCGTCGGGCGCGCCCGCACACAGCGAGTCCGGTCTGGCACCATCCGGTCGGCGGGGCGGGGGCGGGTGCCCCGAAGTGGCCGGTCGGGTGGCGGGGGCCGCGGGGGCCGCTCAGCCGACAAGAAGCCCCGCGCTAATCCAATATGGCGTATGGCCCTCGTCCCTCGCCACTCCACCTGGTCGGGCCGGGTACGGCGGGGGCAGGGAAGGGAGGGACGGACCGAACCCCCGCCGCGCCCCGCCCTTCACAGCCCCTGCCCCGCCCCGCCACGTCACCGGTGCGCCCTCTGCGAGACCAGCAATTAGAAGGGCCGCACGGCGGGCGCAGCAGGCAGGGGCGACCATTACCGGCCCGCCCCCGCCTCGCCCTCGCCGAGGCCCAGCAGTACATCGAGGCCCCTGTCTCGACGCGACCCTTGGCTTCATCCGACGAGTTGGGAAGGGGACACTCTGGGTGAAAAGCATTGCAGCACAGCCATTGGATTTTATTATCTCGATTAGTAGGAACAGACTTTTTTTATTTTTTCTGCGGTAGCGGCGACTGCAGACTTGGTAATCTTCTATTTTCTGACAAAAGCGCCCGAGTACGCGTCGCGCGTCATGGCCTCTCGTGACGGCAGTTGTAAACAGTCGCGAAGGACTCTGTGTAGAGGAGGCTGCAGCGGGCGGCGTTGTTCTCGAACGTCATCTCGCCGACCTTGAACTCCGGATTGACGGCGACCTGGAACCGAGACAAACAATCACGCCTCGAAAGCTCAGAGTAAACCACAGACATTATTCTCGTGATAACCTTATCATTGGTCTGCAAGCTCTGTCTGCCAGTAATTGCCCCCAGGGATTATTGCATCTTACCCGGAGCGTGTACATCCCCGGGTCCAGGTCCGAGATGTCGACCCACTGGCAGTCTATGTTGTGGCGGTAGATGTCGGAGCAGTTGACGGTGATGCCCTGGTCGCCGAAGTTGGCGCACGCGTACACGGGCTTGGCGCCGTGCACGCACTGGTTGTCCTCGAGGCAGAAGGACGCCTTATGACCCTCGGCCACGCGCACGCCGCGGCTGTCTAGCACGTCGAACGTGGCGAACACCTCCATGCTGTGGTAGTGCCTGGCGATACACATTTTTAAAATCAAAATTTGACTGTAGACAGCTCTTTTTCGACGGGAAGAGAAAATTGCTGTTACGCAATGTTGGTAGTGATGGTCAACAAATTGCTCTTCCCATGTCGGAAACAGTGTACAGAAGAACCGTGGCGGCCTCGCGGCCTCGGCTCAGACTTACATGTGACAGGCGTGCCACTCCCACAGGTGCTTAGGGATGAAGGGCCTAAAGTCCTCCGTGCCGGCGTTGATGATCCTGGCCGTGAAGCGGAGCAGGCGCCGCGTCTCCAGGTGCCAGTTGGCCGAGTCCTCCTCGCGCAACTTGTACGCCGAGGAGGCGAGGCAGTTCTCCTCCATGGCGCACTGCAGGAAGAAGAGCTGGCGGTCCTCCAGGTGCGCCGACCGTGTCAGCTCCTCGTAGTCGAAAACCAGGTCGGCGATCTCTGACCGGGGGAGGGGGACAGCAGATGGATGTTTTCATTAAGAATCGGGCGCGCGTCGGCGACAGCTGTCGCCGTGAGCGATTTGTGCGAGAGCGGGGGAGGGACTCACTCTGGGAGCAGATGACGGCGGCGATGTTCTCCTTCCGCCCGGGGCAGGCGTCGCGGCTCAGCCCGCGCCCCAGGGAGTCGTGCAGGCACAGCGACAGCGAGGACTCGTTGCCGTGGCACGAGACGCCGCTCAGCCCGATGTGCGAGGCGTTGCCGCCGAAGAAGTCCGTCTGCACGGCGGAGCGCGCGTAGCCCAGCCCGAGCTCGGCGCACACCACGCCCGCCTCCAGCAGGCTCCAGCCATCGCCGCACACCGCGGACCACTCTGCGGGGCAGGTGCCAAGGGGTCAGGGTCGCGGGCGTGCTACGGACCAGGGTGCTGCGCGCCCTGCCAGAGCGCCCAGGGCCGTCCGCACCGGAACGAGAATGGATGAAAGATGGGGTCCGGGCGTGGCGGGACAGAGGAGCACCACTTCCGAGAGACAGTGCTGCCGAGCGGGTGGAATTTGGGGGGGGGGGGGCAAAGGCGGGTGGGAACACGCACAGCAGCGCGTGGACTCGACCCCGCTCCTCAAAGGGGAAGGCCGCGGTGCCCGGTGCCACGAGCGTCGCGCGACAACGGACAAACATGTCGCCAACACGCACCTGCTTGCTTACCTTTGTCGTCGGGCTACTCGAAATTCCGGGCTGTGAAGTGTGAAGATGGGAAGCTGTTGTCGTGGGTTCGTCTGACAGGTGCGGAGATGGAGCAACACATGGGGGTGGTAATCGCCCCGACTCCACCCCACTCCGACTGATAATGCATTCCCAGCCCTGCCCTGCCCGGCCCTCAGTCTGTCAGCCTGTCGGCCTCCGCGAGTGTCAGGAGGGGGAGCGCGGCACTTGCTCGCTTGCTCTGCTAGGGCCGAGACGTGAGCCCCGACAACCACAACCCGGTGCCGGGGCCCGCGGCGGCGGCGCCCCGAACACGCTTCATTCAACTTCAACATCAACTAACTTCAAGCTCCACCTCAACTTGTTACCCTTCGCTGCTTTCCGGCTGACCCTCCCTCCCACACGCCGGCGCCGCTCGCCCGCCAAGGCCGCGCGGTGCCGCGGGAGCTGCAGCTCCGGCCCGCCGCCCTCCCACGCCGCGCCCCCGTCTAAGGTCATGGGATTCGTCTGCTCGGGATCGTCTCCATCCCACACTAGTCATGCGCATCTCGCGATCGAACGTGCCATTGCCGGCTCCTCGCGCCCAAAGGAATCCGGGCGAGATGACACACGCCTGGCGCCTGGCTGCTGGGCACCTTCGGCAGCTCCCACACAACGGGGGTCGCCCGGCCCGACCAAACGTGGCTCGCAGCCGGGCGACTTGGCCTGAGCCGAGCAGGACTTGTACAGGCCGGTGACACTTACCAAAGTTGCGAAAATTCAAATGTGACTAATCCTTTAAGCAATTTAAGACCAAACTGAGACGGTGTCATTCTTTCTAAACTTCTATACGCTGGGCGCCCGTTCCCTGACCATAAGAAAACCAGTCGCGCACGCTGAGTGGCGCCGTCTCTTACCGCCTAACGACCGAAGGATAGGCCACCCGCCCAATCGACGTGGCTAATTGTTGCCTAACCACCAGGCGCCTCAACTCATCAAGCAACTCACGCCAGCTGTGTAATGTCGGCCTTCTCATTCGCCTTCTAAACCAACTCTGATAATCAACCTTGGTAAAAATTAGAAATGTTACGCGCGGATTCTGATCAGGTCAGGTTCTTCTCGCGTTTAACCGTGCGGTCACGGCGGCAGGGCGAGACCATAGTGCTCAGGAGCGGGAGTCGCCGAAGCAAGGTCGGCAGTGTAAGTGAGTGCAGAGAGATCACATGGCTTCAGGGGGTCTGACGTCACCGCCTTGGTGGTGGACTCACCGCCGCCCTTGGTGCGGACCTCGACGCGGCCCTCCTCCCTGGTGCGGCCGCCGGCCAGCCGGACGAGCAGCCGCCCGCCCACGGCGTCCTGTGGACAGAGAACAGGAACTTGTGTCAGGTGTTTCAGAGCGGACACCGCAGTGTTCCCGTGGTGTTGCGGGTTTGCCTACTCCCTTCGCCCGTAAGGCGCCATAGCCCCCCGCGGCCTCGCACACCACCGTAGTGTCCGCTCTGAAACACCCGATACGTACGCATGGTTTTACGATGTGATCCTTCCACCACCGGCCCGGTGCTGTCCTCAAACCGTGGGCAGCTCAAAGGGGGAGGTGTTGCCCCTGTGTGGAGAGACACTATCTACCCTCCCACGCCGTCTTCCTTTTCACCGCACTCGCCTCCCAGAAGGCAAAACTTTGGGAAAGAGTTGGCCGATAAACTCGTCATTGCCCAACTTTCCGGTCACGTCGCGACCCCCCGGTCCCCCCTCAAATACAGCTTCCGCGGTGCACTGTGGAAAACAACCCTCAACACCACCGCTTCCTTCAGGGTTGGGCGAGGCAGGCGACTGCATGAACTTTCCATGATTTCTCAACTTGTTATTTCTCCTCCGTGTAAATTATACGCCCTTCAGCCCTAGCTTCCTCACGGGGACCCCCTTTCTCTCTCTTCTAACCATTTCTTCTTTGCCAGAGGCGATGCGCTGCGCCCCATATTCCCTTACTTCCCTTTAATTTTTCTCCCCCACACGGGAAGGCGGTCAGGGTGGGGGAGGACGGCCCCTCCACCCCGGCCACGGCCGCCGCGCCGGCTCACCTTGATGCGCGTCTTGGGCTTCCACCTTGGTCGCCCCTCCTCCTCCCCGCCGTCCTCCTCGAGCGCCTGGGGCCGGTCAACGCCGTCCAGGTCAGGGTCGAGGCAGACGACGCCCGCCGACTCGCTGTGGCTGCAGTCCGAGCTGCCCCAGCCCTCGGCCGTCCTGCAGTCGGCCAGCTCGCGCTCCGTGCCCTCGCACAGGACGTTGTCCATCCAGAAGCGCCCTGCAGGTAGGCAGCCCAACGTCCACCGTTATTCAGAGATGCACCACCTTCCCCAGCTGGCGCCAGGACTTCCATGCTCACGTACTCCTGGAAGGGCCGTAAGCCGAGCTATGCGTCGCCCTGAGGACGCCGTCGAAGCCCAGCTGGCGGCAGACGACCTGGGCGTCCTGCAAATCCCACTCGTCGTCGCACACCGCGCCCCACTTGCCCATGTGGTGGATCTCCACGTTGCCTGCAACAGAAGGGCGTGGAGTACAAGAGTCGCTCTGGAGTGGCGCCGGCGCGGCGGCGAAGGAGGGCCCTTCACGCCAAGGACAGGCGGGAGGCGGCGGCGCGGCGGGCGCGGAGAGCGGAGGCGGCACCTCCACGCCACGCCATACGAGACACCAGACACCTGAAACACTATAATGGAGCGGGGTCACGGCGGTGTCACTTGCATAGAGGGGACAGCACGGGCCGGGCGGGGGCCGGCAGGGCAGAGCCGTTCAATAAGGCAAAGTTTTCGGCTCTTACCCGGTTCTTCCCCCCCCCGCTGTGAAGTGTGAAGATGGGAAGCTGTTGTCGTGGGTTCGTCTGACAGGTGCGGAGATGGAGCAACACATGGGGGTGGTAATCGCCCCGACTCC